GTTTATTATGTGGTAGGGGACCGTCTTACATTAAGAGAATTATCTCTAAGGGGTAAAGATGATTACGTAGATGAAGAAATACTATCGGCCGTCTTTCCAATTAGCTGGGATTTCCGCTTCCAATTTCGTGAAATATTTAATATGATGGAGTACATAATTCTGTCCATTACAGAATATCCCAATACCATAAAAGAACTCTTAAAACACCCAACTGATTCACAAGAATTTTCTATTCGACATTGTATTGCTGTTGAATAGATAGCTTTGCACAACAATATACGTTGACTTTGGAATATTAGAAAATTTATTAAAAAAAATTAATCGATTTAGCTATACTGTTGTGTAAATTATATCGTGACTAAGATACGTATTTTTTACAAGCGTTTTATGCATGTGACATGGAGCCCCAAGGGAGCAATCCCATGTGATCGCGGAAAATAATTTATGCTTATTATACGTTATCCAATCTCATGCCTTTACAGTTACTATTTGGATTGAATTCTGATATTTATTTCCCCAGCATCTGAGGCAATGTGCTTGTATTGACATAATCTCCACTACCCCATAGACCCTCTATATAATTTTTTATATTTTCTTTTTTATGATTATTATTGCATAAAAGGGCAGGTTATTGAACAGTCAAAATAATCATTATCACTACTATATTTCAAAGATAAAACTGGAAACCATTCCAATGACATTTCGATAACATGTTTTTGTTTCTCTTGGGGATCATCGGGTAAGACAGAAATTGGAGGTAGAGTTTTATTCTCATGCGGTGGAGATGCCGATACACTTATCTGATTTTCTGGTGAAACCTTTTTAGTTACTACATTTACCTTAGCTTTAGATGAATCGGAAACGTGAGATTCAGTAGATATACTTACCCTGGTCTCGGTTTCCGGTAAAGATTCAGATGCAATAGCATCATTACTTCATGAGATTATCTTATTTTCTGAATTGCTGGAGGTAGTCACAGAGCTAGAGGTATGGAGGAATGGAATAAAGGAAGTACAGTGACCTACCATATTATTGTGAACAATTTTTTTTCTTAATTACTCAAAAATGTACAAAAAAATGTAATACAATTTTTTTATCACTTATTTTATGAATGTCAAAGTATATTATATTAAAATTTTATATCATTTTATTTAGTCACTTAAAAGTTATGTAGAAAAGCTTGTAAAGTTACTTTTTTCTATTGAACAGGTTTTTTTTTTAAAAAAAATAATTTTTTTAATAAAAAAACTAAACTAACTATAAGGTATAGGATCCTATTTTCGTGACTACACTTATTTTCGTGGATTTTATTTTTAAATATATATTTTTTTAATTTATTAATAAATTTATTAATTTAAATATTTTATTTTATAATATACATGTATTATCAATTATGTAAATATAATAAATATGATGATATAATTGTTTATTAATAAATTTAGACTTAAGTTATACTGTATAATAACTTCCAAAAAAGTTACCATTAAACGTCAAGCCGCTATTGCCGTGGCATTAGATACTGTCGCTAAACATAATGTAGAGTCTGATCGACCTGTAAATATTCGTCAAATAGCTCGTGAACATGGAATTGCTGAACAAACTTTATGTGACGCAATAAAAAAAAATGCGGTGCCGAAACGACCTGGCCCTTCAACTATACTTACTGCTGACGAAGAGAACGAACTTGTAGGCTATTGTCTAAGCATGCAAAAAATTAGTTTCGGATTAATCAAAGATGCTGTTAATATAATGGTTATGCAAATTATTGAATCACAAAATTGAAAACATCCGTTTAAAATCAGTCTGGGTAAAAAATGATAGCAACGTTTTTTACATGATCATTCAATACTTTCATTTTGAATTCCACAAAAACTTACTAGTGCACGAGCAGCTAAAGGTAATCCTGTTGTTATTCAAAAACATTTCGAATCATTACAACAAATGATAACTGATTATTCTCTTACTGCCAACCGTATTTGGAATATGGATAAGACTGGATTTAATCTTTTACCCTGACTACAAAAAGTATTAGCGCAAAAAAATAGCCGACAAATTCACAAAACTATGACCGGGAGCTCAAATGAACATATTTCAGTGTGTTCAACCATTTCCGCTGCTGGTACATTTATTCCGCTATTGATTATTTACAAAGGTATTAAAGTTATTGAAGGCTTATTATCTGATCCAGCAGTTCCTCCCGGCACCATTGCTGCTTTTACCAATACGGGCTATATGCATGAAGACATCTTTCAAATGTATATCGAGCATTTTAACTGATCAATTCCACCAATTTGATCCATTTTGCTTATGCTTGATAGTCATTTTAGTCATATCGATTTAGTTAGCATAAATTTTTGTAGAGAAAACAATATTCTTCTTTACGTCCTCCCTTCT